CCATAACTTGCATAATTTGGATATATGATGATATGTATTATATGCCTAGTTATATGGTTGTTATTATTATGGTCGAGGCTATATTTGTTGTGTGTGCATGATATATGTGTTTAATGCCATTTACATCACTTTTTAATTGATATGAAACTGTATAGGCTTAGTTAACCTTAGTTATTGAGTAGTTGTACTCACCCTCCATTCTTAAATATTTTCAAGGCCTAGCTCATTGAACCAAGATTGCAGGAAAAGACCAAAGGCTTAGGATTCTAAGTAAATCCTACTATTAGGCCTCTTAGATTTATTTTGATGTGTATTTAAGTTATTAACTTGCCAACTAGGATTCATTTCATTATTTTTCACTACTTGCATTATCTTTATGAAAATCATGTGTATTTTGTGCCCTGGGTTAGTGTGATGTGTTTGTAAAGTTTGTATAGTGCCAAAATACTAGTGTAAGTAGGATAAAGTGTATTTTTGGTTGTTTTGGGATGAATATTGATTATTTATGCAAAGTTCTCCTCCCCTTGTGTTTTTATGAATTGAGGGGTTGAGGGTTGAAATCATAATATGTGTGTATTTGAATGGGTGTGGTGTGTTTCATGGGTCCAAAATGGTCCATTAAGTGTGATCTAAAAGCTAGTATAGGCTTTTGGCACATGTATGGGGGTTTAGGTACCCTAGTTGTTTGTATTTATGAAAAAGGAGTGAAATAGGTTTTGGGTGTGCAACTTTTGATAGAAAATGACTTTGGTTGTGATTATGCCATTAGTTATTAGTTAGAGCTAGGAGAAAGCTCTCTATAGACACCAAGATCACCTCAATCAGACGTCGCTTGAAGATTTGAGACGCATTGGAAGTTCGTCCCCTATGCTATCAACTTGACAGCAAAATGCTGTCAAACTCACACCTCACACCACAGTGAATGGCACAAAGACATGCACGTTACGGCACAAGAGCGTTAAGCCATGGCATATGTGCTGCTTTCTACACTATTTTACTATTTTGAGTTTTTATACAAATGCTTTAATTTTTCTTGATCCTCATGCTCTACAGACATTTTAAACTCTGATTTTGATATATTGAAAGTGTATAGGAGTATTTTAAATATTAAAATCTTGGGATCCCATTTTTAATTGTTAAGATTTAGTTATCTCATTTATAAATTGTGACTTGGTAATCCTTTTTGGATTAGACCTTTGATTTCCTTAGCTTTTGAAGTTAATGGTAATTAGATCATGGAGATTACACTCGTAATTCATTTTGGATATTACAAGTCAATCATCAGTCTATCATCAAAAACCAAAATTAATTTTCTAATTACTAATTTACCTTTAATTAGAAATTAGTTTCTTGGATTAAAGTTCAGGATATTACAAGAAGCAGACCAAGACTTGAGATTGTCTATATGTAATGCCTCAAGTTAAACCCCAACCAATTTCAAAATGCCAACAAAGTCCTTGAGTCCTTCAATGGCAATAAGTCTAATAATAGGGATTTGCAAAGATTTGCAAGTTTGGGTCCCAATTTTACAACTTTATTATGATACATTTACAATTTTTTTTTTCAAATTTTAATAGCGAACACAAATGTTCATCTTCAATATTCAAAAGTATTAAGTCTAATGGTTTCAAAAATTTGCAAGTTTGGCTTCCTATTTTGCAACTTCATTATGATGCATTTACAACGTATTTCCTAATTTTAATAGGGACCATGAATGTTCATATTTAATATTGAAAAGTATTTAGTCTAACAGCTCTAGGAATTTACAAGTTGGGTTTTTAGTTTTACAATTTCATTGTAATGAATTTATAACTTATTTTCTTGATTTTAAGTTTTGACAGGAAATACAAATGTTTATATTTAATGCTGAAAAATTTTAAGTCTATTGCTTATTCTTTGTCTATTGCCTATTGATCAATAAAATAAATAGATCCTCCATTTTTTCATTGGTTATTGTTTATTCTTCAATCCTATTAAAATTTAAAAAATAAATTGCAAATATATTATAATCACGGATCAAGGAATTTTGTTGGCATTCTAAAATTAGTTGGGACTTAACTTTAATTAATTGATCCCTAATTAGGACTTTACTATTATCCTCCCTCATATTTTATTATTGTATCCTATATTTCATATTTTGATGTGTTATTTCTCTATAACTGTTTTGTATTGATTAGTCTAGCTGGGAGTACTAGTAGGAAGGGCTAGAGGCCTTAGGTTAATGCATGATTAGTATTAGATATTATTGATGCGATGGCATTAAGTTTTTATGACCGAAACGAAATATGGGATACCTGATTCGGAAATATTATTTTTGAATTATTATTATTAACCAGGTTTAAAATTTTCTTCCACGATAAATGTTTTTATTGGTGTCACTTTTTATTATCATGGTAGTGTGGTTCTGAACAATTAAATAGTTATGGCGTTTTACTATTCACTAGTTAGCACACTGTCCAACATTCTGGCATGCATTCATTACTTCTACAATATAGTGTTTTTTGGGCAAAAAATTATCCATGTTGCGTAAATTAGTGATTCCAACAGCTCTTTTGCTATTTCTAAAGGATATAACACTTTGGAAATAATAAATAATCTCATTTAAGTTAATTGGTAACAAATTAATTGTACTAACACTGTTTTATCAACTTCTACATTGACTTTCATATCAAAAAATTCTTCTGTCTATCTAAGCATTGATTGTATTCATTTACTCTTCTGAGAGGTATAAAAGCTTTTGTTACTCAAAATCATTTTGAGAGACCCAAGATGTGGTATCCTTGAATGGGTTTAAATTTTTACAAAGTTTTATAAGGGATTGAGAGTTGTACAATACTTGTAGTCTTGCTGTATACTATGGTGGCAATTACCTGGTTGAAACTTGGAAGAGTTAGTTGAAAAATCTCAAGAGATTTATTGAAAATTGAATGTAAAGTGAGTGATTCGGTTGAATCAGAATAAACTTTTTCTATCATTCTCACCTTCTCTGCTTGCTTTACATTGAATTTTCGAAAAGCTCATTTTGTGTTCATTTTGCAATGAGTTTTTGAAAAATTATTGACATCCAATTCACTCTCCTTTCAAGTGTGAGCTTACTAATACAGCCTATGTGAGGCTTTTGGGTTATGAGCTTTATAAAGGGTGAAAACCTAATGTCTCTCACTTGTACATATTGGGTTGCAAATGTTTTGTTTTAAACTTGAAGAGTTTCCAAAAAAAAAAACATTACTAGTTGAGGAACTTTAATAGAGTTTAATCAAAAATGCTCTTAACAAATATTTGAAATTAACAATTTTTTATGTTTATTTATAAGGGAAAATGATAACTAAGTAACCAATTAATTCAATTAACCCCTAACTAATTTCAAAATACCAATAAAGTCCCATGCATTTTTTTGGACAAATTTGACTTAAAAATGAATTGGCTTAAATACCATTAAATTAAATATATGATTAAAATTTAAAAAATAAATTACAAATTCACTAATTTAAGGTTATAAAATTAAAAGTCAGACTTACAAATCCCTTGAATTGATAGAATAATGACTTTTCAACTTTAACATCAACATTTATGTTCCCTCTTAAAATTTAAAAAATAATTTGCAAGTTCATCAATTCAAAGTTGCAAAATTAAAAGTTAAACTTGCAAATCCCTAGAATTGTTAGAATAATGACTTTGCTATTTTTCAAATTTAAATAGTAGCATCTTTATTTTTTCTAAAAATTTGAAAAACAAGTTATAAATTCATCTATTTAAAGTTGTAAAATTAAGAACCAAATTCACACATTATGTTTCTTGTTAAAATTGAAAAATCAAATTCATTAAGAAATTGCAAAATTGGAATAAACAGTTACATATCCTTATATCTATTAAAATAATGTCACTTAATAACCAAGCGACTTAATTGGCATGATAAAATTACTTAAAACTTAGATTGAATAAATTAGTCTATTTGAAACTTAGTTATCATTCTCCCTCATTATAATTAAATCACCTTATTAATTGGTAGACAGAAAGAGTAAGTAGTTGTAAAACCCCTCATAATTTTAAAGGCATGGAGTATGATAATACATGTATCACAGCTGAGCGCTTCCCCTTTAAAAGGTCATTGTTTTTAGGGATCATATCCCTGTCGCCTTCATTTTTTTACTATTTTATATTTTTGCAATTGCTACTAAAACAATTATTTGTATATATAATATAAAATTAAAAAGTGGATTATTTACAAGCCAAGAATAATGTAGCTAATCACTCTAGATTTCTCTCATGCATGCACTGTCTGAAATTATGAAAATGTGCAAAACTGAACAAGAAAAAAAATTATACACAAAATCAGTTTGTGTAGTGTAAAAAAAATAAAGAATATTTATATAATAAGAGAATAGAATATAGAGTGCAAAAGGAATACCTTAGAAATACCAAATTGTTCTCTATTATTTACTTTTTTATTTCATATTTCATTTCTAATATAGAAATTCAATCTCGTTGCTTTTTTTTTTTTTTTAGGGCGACCAGGTCCCATTAACACTCCCACTACCATTTATTGTCCTCTCTAGTTTCTTTTGCATCTGCTTTTCGTACATGTTTTTTCCCCCATTCAAAGAAAAAATGTTATTAATGTACAAAAGAGAGAAACAAAACAAGATTGAATGACACCTATAACATATTGCAGAGCTTGCAGTTGCCATGGTGCCATTCAAAATCCTTCGACAAAATGTACACGCGAAAGTTTTAGAAGCCAAGTTCCTTAAAAAAATTACAAACATTGAATCCTCCTTTGGACTAAAAAACAATACACGAAAAACAGTTAATCAACTGACCTTTCAAGTTTTCCTCTATGTTAAATCATGTTCCTATAATTTGTTATAACTTTCAGGAACTAACATATTTAACTGATGAAACTACAATGACTTGATTAAAATAAAATAAAATACAGGAATCTAATTCATTCAAAATTGAATATTTAAAAGGGCTTGCAGATTAATTTTCCAAAAAAAAAAAAAGGTCCAAACAGCCCAAAACCTCAATTAGAAAAACATTCCTCATAACATCAATTATCCCGTGTTCCCACGCGAACTGAAAATATCCGTATTTGTTAATATCATAATGGTTTAAAATACTAAAATGAATAATATTACTCATGCAAACCAATAAGGGTACTGGTATACTCATTAGCGTAAACATGTGACTAGTTATTTGGAACCTACATTAACAATCATTACCCCTCGAAATAACTTCTTTGCATGTTGGTCGGAGCAAGATAGTATGCTCAAATTGTGATACATAGCTTCCTTTCACATCGCAAAGAGGAGGATAAGGCTGCATGAAAAGAGAGCAATATCTAAGTGATCTTCAGAATAGTACAACTCCTGTATTCACTTTAAATATTGGGTTAATGTACATATGCAGAAACTCTCTCTAAAAAGTTTTTGGCATCCTTAAATCAAGCATAGTGCATAAGTACCAATTAACTTTATAAACGAGTTTCTACCCTTAAAACTCAAGGGTCAACATCAGGCTATTTTCTCCAATTACAAAAGGGTAGCCTCTTTTATAATGTCAATAGATAATCATGTATCATTGCTAGCTTAAGAATACCGTAAGTTTCAGGAGAAGATATTTTTATACCTCAACCCTAAAATATAATGTAAGCATTAAGCAACATCTCAAACAAAGAAATAAACAAAAGGTAAATCATAAGGAAGAAATTGGGCATATGTCTTATCTTGGTCTTAAGTCTAGATTTTCTAAGCTAACCGCCATTATTGTCACCTACCATGGGACGACAGCATCATCGGAGAATACCATAGGCTTATTTGTGGGCCCAAATAAAATCTTCTACAGAAATTTGATATGATTAAACAAAAAAAAGTCCACAAATGTCAATGTACTGGATATGGACATCTTGAAGAAACCTTATATTTAAGTGATGAAATTGCATGTTATGATGATAATCACGAGCCTTCAACTAAGGAAATTTTTTTTTTCCCCCGGTGAATAGACCCTAAGAATCTAGAACAAGTGCAAAAATTAAATTAATATGTTCTGATTTTCAATTTCCATAATATGAAAACACAGTGATGAGAAGTACCTGAACAATATTAGAATCACACAGGTTTTTCAATGCCATTAAGTACTTAGCCTCCCCCAGGCGATCCAAATACCGTCTACAAAAGGCCAAAGTAGAGAAGTTCTTGTTAATAGTAGCTAACAGCTGCTTTGCTCTAGGCAATCTCAGCGGGACATGACCAACATCGAAATTTTTCATGTAGTGACTGCACTCCAAATCTTCTCTTACATATCCTTTCCCTAAACATTAAATAGAAATTAAATCATGCATTAATGTGCATTCGAAATTCTAATATAAAACCCCAGCATCTTAAGCAACAAGTACCAGTTGATCCAAACGTTTCAATGGCGTAAAATTCACCCTCCTCCATTTTTGTCTGCTCTCCTCCTTTCACAATTGGAACAGATTTACCAGCATGGATTTGGTAGCGGCCTATGCTGTGTCCATTCAAATTTCGTATGCTCTTCACTACAATGACATTCAAGTTGCAAGAAACAGTTTACTCTTAGATATTATAAAAGGAGAAACACCAACACAAATGTACAAGTGCATAACGTTATCATGAGAATCTCACTTCTCGATGAAGATCTTAAACTTTGACTTGGATAAAGCATCAGTAGTTTAAACCAATCTTTGAACGAAGAACCAAAAGTACAGAACACTCTTTGGCCAAGAAAATTTAGAGAACACTCTGATCTCAATTCGTTGAGGAACTGTATAAGGTCTCTCCCAATAAACAAGGTATATTTTCTTGCAAAGAACTTGTAGGGCTTTCACAAAATACTCATCCAAACAGGAGGGAAAAAAAAACACAAGTTCCAGCATAAAACAAGAAACAAACATGGTTTCACAGTACCATCAATTGTTCAAATTTTTCCTATGGAACTTCCTTCTATGGATAAAGGTGCATTTTTACCTTTGAAATATTCTCTGAGAAACACCCAACACTCTAAACTATTAGTCAAAGCAATTTTGCCCTCAAGGTAATTAAAACGAAGCATTTTTACTCTTTTTGTTAAATTCCCTAACAGTAAGTGTAAGAGTCCTAATTAGCATTTTCTAACAGTCAACGTTGGAAATTTAACAGCAAGGGTGAAAAATGGTTTGTTTTAATTACTTTAATCGCAAAATTGCTCTAACTAATAGTTTAGTTTGCTAAGTGCTCCTCTAAGAATAATTCAGGAGCAAAAATGCACCTTTGTCCTTCTTTTATATAAAAAAAAAATTGTATTAAAATGAAGGAAAAACAAAATGTCAAAGGATAATACATCCAAAATATGAAAACACAAATAAAATCACAAAATAAAGCGAACAAAAATTCTACAAAATTGGTTAGTGTAAGAAAGCTGTTCAACCTTGGCTGAAGGCAAAAAGTAAGAGAGCTAAAAAGTCTGAATGTCAACAATGATGATTCCTGTTGATAATAGGCTTACCATTGTTGGGCCCATTCCAATATTTAACCTAATCTTCCTTTCTTATTTGATCTGATTTTATCTCTTATTATCACAGCCTTTATTATTTTATATTTTGAGGAGAAATCATAGGGATATGATCGATTTCTCCCTCCCTCCCTCTCTATGTACTATATATCGACTCATATAGTGAATACAGATTAGATCTCCTGCTGCCAAATAACATAGTGGTATCAAAGTGTTTGGTTCAATGTCATTCAAGACAATGGTGACGGGCTAGCCACAAGTCTTCGCTGTCAATGGAGATAACAGCAAATCTTCATTGCACGGTGAGAGCTCACAAGGGTTGGGCTCTATGTCTAAAGGAGGGGGGATTGGTGCAGATGCTTTGTCACACACGATGATCACTAGGTCAAGCCAAACTCCTCACAACTCACAATACCTCATTGCCTCAATGGCAGTACTTATCTCCAATGGTCTCGATAATGTTTTAATGCTTGTTCGAGACCACAACAAGGAGAAGTATCTCACTTGGGACCCAAAACCACCTAAATCGAATGATCCCCTGTTTAAGAGTTGGTGTGCCGAGAACAATATGGTTATGACATGTCTTGTCAATTCCATGACTGTAGAAATTAGCAAAAACTATCCACTTGCAACAGCAGCAAAAGAAATTTGGGATTCTACCAAGACCAGATATTCTGTTAAGGAGAACACAGTTGCAATTTTTCAAGTGGAACTTGTGCATCATCTTCTACAAAAAGAAGAGTCAATGACAAAATATATAGTCCATTGATGAGGCTCTAGCAACAGATTGATTTATATGAGGTCCATGAATGGTCTTGCCATCAAGATGGACTGGATTATAAGAAGCTTGTTGATCAAGAAAGATGCTATGACTTCCTCCTCGACCTCAATGATGCTATTGAAGATGTTCAAGGATGCATCATGACCACAAAGCCACTTCCCTCATTGGAAGAATCATTTAACATGATTAAGTGTGAAGAGAGCAGAAAGGTACTAACTCATTCTCCTATCCCTTCTAACTCATCTCATGACTCTTCTACACTGGCTATTTAAGGCACTCAAGGTGATGCGAAGGGTAAAAAGTCAAACAAATGGTGTGACCACTGCAAGAAGAGTGGCCATATATCATAGATGAATGTTGGAAGCTTCATGGTAAGCCATCCAACCAAAAACAAAAGTCTAAATCAGATAGGAAAGGGCTGCTGGTTGGTACTGCTGGGTTTGAGGGAAGTTCTTTGAGCCCTAAAGAATTGCAGGTGCCGCGAAAAATTCTAGAGAAACACATTTCACCTGCTCCTGCCAATTTATGTGAGAAAACCCCTCCCTCTTTTACTTTGGCAAACGCAGGTATTGCTCGTAGTAAAGCACTTAGTGATGTTACTGCAACTAAAAATATTAGATAGTGGATTCAAGTGCAACTGATCATATAGCAGGTTTTAAAGATCTATTTACTGAGTTTAGTGAATTTACTATGCATGATTCAATTGAAGTAGCAAATGGACAGTGTGCTAAGGTGTTAGGTTCTGGCACTGTGGTTATTTATGAGAATATTGTGTTGAAGAACGTCATGTATGTTCATAAAATACAATGCAACTTGTTATATGTCAAACAAGTTACAACTCAAATAAATTGTCTTGTTATTTTTGACAAAAATGGTTGTGTTCAGGATTTGACCTTGGGGAAGATGATTAGCAATGCTAAGGAATGGAATAAATTCTATTACATTCAAGGATCAATTTCTACAGCACATCGTTCTAGTGCTACTACCTCTATTACTTCCAGTACTGATCTTATGTTGTGGCATTCTAGGTTAGGGCACCCTAGTCTTAGTTACATGCAACTCTTGTTTCCAAGTATCAATAATAAATTAATTTCTGAATTTCATTGTGACACTTGTCATTTTGCTAAACAAACTCAAAATTCTTATCCCTCTCATTCCTATGTTCCTACTCATCCTTTTAATCTCATTCATAGCAATGTATGGGGTCCATATAAATTTGAAACGAATTTTAAGGCTAGTTGGTTTGTTACTTTCACAGATGATCACGCTCAGTTAACTTGGGTTTTCCGGATGAAAGAAAAATCATAAGTGTTTTCCATCTTCAAAAATTTTTATACCTTTGTCAAAAACCAATTTCAGACCTCAATCAAGATACTTCAGACTGATAATGGAAAGGAATATCTACATTCTGATCTTGAAAATTTCTTGACTCTATGGCATACACCATCAAACCTCTTGTGTTTATTCTCCTCAACAAAATGGGGTCTTTGAGAGGAAAAATGGACATTTGCTTGAAGTGTCTAAGGCAATCATGTTTGGAAGTAATGTTCCTAACAGGTTTTGGGGTGATGCTGTTCTAACATCTACCTATTTGATTAATCGCATGCCCTCTAAAACTTTGGATTTTTGTACACCTCTTTAAAAATTCCTGGATTTTTATCCCCATTCGTCCCTCACTAATTCTCTTCCAAAACAGATTTTTGGTTGTACTGCCTTCGTCTATAATGAAAATGGGGGCAAGTTGGATCCTAGAGCTGTTAAGTGCATTTTTCTGGGGTATTCCCGAAACCAAAAGGGGCACAAGTCTTTTCCCCCCATGACCAATAGGGTTTACATTACCGTGAATGCCAAATTCATTGAACAACAGCCATTTTATCCCAAATCACCCATTCAGGGGGAGAGTGAGCAGAGCGAATGGATTATTTATGATTCCAAGTGTGATCAATCTGGTCAAAACAATATTGAGCCTCATAATGGACCTCAAACATCACTAGAAAATCCTGTTATTCCCATTTTTCCAAATACTAGCCCTAGAAATTGTTCGGACAGGTTTGAACAATGTTCACAGACCAATTCTTCACTTGAAATCAGCCCTGGGAACTCACGAACCAGCAGCAGACAAATCTGAAAAATCTTCAACCAGATCCCAATTTCAAGATAAAAACCCATTTGAACCTCTAAACATGCTATCTGAACCAGATTTCACTAAGACTAGGGTGAATGAACCTGGTAATGTCCCAGAACAGCAACTTGGTGGAGAAAGTTCCATTACCATACCGAGGCAAAGCCATGACTCTGTACCTGAGGCAAGTCTTGAAGAACTACACTGGCAAATTGCTTTGAGAAAAGGAAAGAGAAGTTGTACTCAACACCCCATTGGGAGGTATGAATCATACAAGAAACTCTCTTCTCCTTTGAAGACCTTTGTTGCTAATGTTGAAAGTGTCAAAATTCCCAAAAAATTCAATGAGGCCATTGCTGATCTGAAATGGAAACCAGCTATAAAGGAAGAGCTGAGGGCTCTACATGAAAATAGAACTTGGAAGATTGTGAACCTTCCAAAGGGAAAATCTGTAGCGAGCAATAAATGGGTGTTCACTGTTAAAAATATCTCTGATGGAAGTATCAACAAGTATAAGGCTCGCCTGGTTGCTTGTGGATTCACTCAGACCTATGGTATTGATTATCAAGAAGCATTTGCAACTGTGGCAAAATCCAATACCATAAAGGTCTTTTTATCACTTGCTGCGAACTTAGAGTGGCCTCTACATCAAATTGATGTTAAGAATGCCTTCCTTAATGGTGATCTTGAGGAAGAGGTTTACATGGAAGTCCCACTGGGTATAAGAAATTCAAAGAATTCTCGTAAAGTCTATAGACTGTAAATCTTTATATGGGTTAAAGCAATCACCTTGAGCTTGGTTTGAAAGGTTATCTTGTGCTATAAAGGGCCTAGGCTATAAGCAATGTCAGACAAACCATATTTATTTGTTAAAACACCATGGAAACAAAATAACAGCTCTCATTGTTTATGTTGATGATATAGTGTTGATGGGTAATGACACAGAGGAAATCACTAAGCTAAAAGAGCATGGCAAATGAATTTGAAGTCAAAGATCTTTGTGCCTTGAGATACTTTCTTGGCATGGAAGTTGTGCGAACCCAGAAGGGAATCAATGTATCTGATGAGACCCTGCTGTTAAACAAATAGGGATGCAGAAATAATAATGATAAATGACCAACAAATC